GCTATACCTGAATACTAAGTGGCTTATGTCAGGCTATACACCACTGCTTAGGGGGTATGTCAGGCTATACCTGAATACTAAGTGGCTTATGTCAGGCTATACCTAAATACTTAGGGGGTATGTCAGGCTACACCTGAATACTAAGTGGCTTATGTCAGGCTATACCTAAATACCTAGGGGCTTCAGAAAATCTCTATAGTCCATAGGTCCTAAGACCAATTGGTTCTAATTAGAATTAATCATATTAACATATGGTGGAGTCTTCTAACTTTGTAAATAAAAGTAAATTTTTTTGTGGGAAAACAAAAGAATTAAAGCGAAGGAAACAAAAAGGCAATTAATTGTAGCATGGGAATGCAATGAATATTTTGTGGTGTATGACGTATCAAGTGAACACGTTCAAGCAAAAACTTCTAGTATAACGATTGACCAGATAAATCCACAGCTTCTACTGGGATGAAGATCAAAATACTGGTTTTATTTCGTGTAGAGAGAGGTATCTTTACTATTAAAAAAATATCAACTCATAGATAACACAAGAGATGCACTGAATCACCTTCTTGCAATTACTACACAGAATCTATAAAATACCAGAAAAAAGGCTTAGAAATGTCTTTTGTTTTTTTCCTGTTGTGTGTGTCTGACAACTTGGTATACGATAAAAAAAAAAGAATACTAACTCATTACCAGATTTTCTAGACTCATTACTCACTTTTTTGGACTTGCTCCTCACTACAGAACAAAAATAAACCCCTCGCACCCCGTGAAGAAACCAGTTGTTCTGGTACCAAATGGTTTTAGGACAAATGGGTTTTAGGTCTGTAGACATGGCACCCTATTCTTGATATCCGGCTGTATTCACGTGCCTAGAAGTTTTGTGAAGACTTGTGTGTTCACATATCGCTTGGTCTCAGTTTCCTTCTTTAGAAAAATATCTATTCTCACCCCTAATCTAATATCCTTCCTAACTTTTCTACGCGTAAATCAATTGATAATTACATTAACCCTAAATTTGAAAAACCAACAACAACAACAATTATATTTTGTTTGTAGTGTGAAAGATTTTACTTTTTTATTAAAGGTAAATTTCTGACAAAATTAATGGCATACACAGTACATATGCTCGTTCACACCGTTTTACAATTTAACAGTATAACAGTAAGTATTGTAAATACTTTAGTATATATATTTAATATGTAAAGTTTTGAATAAAACATTTTATGACGACACTCAGTAATGACTTTAAAAGTATTTGCCGATGGTCGTCCGTAGATGAATTTAGTAACGTACAAAAAATCTTGAATCTATGTAAAGAAAAGACAATTAATTTCAATTAAAAAAATTACTGTTATTTCTATTCAGTGACAATTATATAAAACATGTTACGTACTAAATACCTTGAGCCTGTTTATTACGTTAATTTGAAACCTAACTGTTAGCTGTGCGTGTTGTTCACTGTTGTAGCACCCTGGTGGTGAGGAGATAATACTTGAATATGCCGGTCGCGACGCAACCCTGCCGTTCTATGGAACCGGACATAGTTCGGACACTGTCCGAGAAATGGAGAAGTACTGGATTGGTTTAATAGTGGAGGTAAGATTGTCATTGTTCAAATTTTGTTTTGTGTGTGTGTGTGTACACGTAGGTTCGATAAAATGGAAGTTAGCTCTTGGTTTCTAACTGTGAATAGGGTGGAACTACAGTGGCTGCTTCTTATGACGTTGTTACGTAGGGGGCGTCAGAATTAAGATTATTGTTTATAAGAAATGCCTATGTGGTAAACATACTACTTGTTTCCTTGCCCTTATTTAATAAACAAAATTAAAAAATTGCTGTACATTCTGGGTATATAATGGTTGAACACAGCTTGATTGGGTAATGAAGAAAAACTTATATTAAAGTTTTTCTTCATTACCCATTCAAGCCGTCTCCAACAATTATTAGTCTCAAAGTGGGTTCCTCGTCATCGAATTTAAATTCTGGGTATATATTATTAATATAGAATGTCAGTCAGAGAAGCCAATAAGTTTCTCTCGCTCTAGTTACCTACGGGGTCATTCAACTAGGGTATCACGTGCACTTTCTCATGGGAGAGATCTCTGCGAGGTACGACATACTGTATAGAAATTGATAGTGATCTGTTCCACGTGCAAGCCAGGTGATATCTCAATGATACATACCTTATTTTTGAGTGAGAGTGACCACCAGTCATGTGGATAGTGCCTGCGTCCTGAGAAGAATGGCATTTTTTTATTTTACGGATATATAATGCTATGTTTTCTAGATCTGGAACAACGTATGTGTGGATTTCAACAGATTTGAGATATTTACGACAGATCTCTAGTAAAGGCACCAAAAACACTCTTGTTTGTCTTTGGTTGTATATTAGTGTTAAACGAAGATTGTTTCACTGTTTTATACATTGCATCCAGTATCTTTCTTTGTTTCAAACTCAGTCGAGGCTAGAATTCAGATTCATATCGTTATACATTTCCTGTAGAAACCTTCTGTTATTCTAATAATGGCTGGAGACGGCTTGAATGGGTAATGAAGAAAAACTTTAAT